AGCGTTGTAAGTCCGCAGACATACCGCTGTACCACTGGGGGGCAGGCCCATCAGTGTGGCTGGGATACAGAATAAATGGAAGTGAATTCATAATAAGCTAAACTCTATAGCAGAATATAACTTTGTACATTAAATATTTATAGCATAACAGCACTACAACACTTTTCAACGCAGGTTTGTAGCTTTTATAACTTAATTCAGATGTTATAAGTTGTATTCTTAACAAACTTAATAATAAAACAAAGCACATTAGAACCTCTAATCAACCCATTATAAAAATGGAACTCTTAATTGTAATATGAAATAATTTTGAAAAGCCAGGATATTTTATTTTCAGTGGTGATGGGCATAAAACGAAATTTGATTCAGTATTTAAAGCTAAAAGTTATGAACAGATGGCGCTATAAGTCAGAACTTTGCTTTCATATACTTGATTTCATGGATTTTTAGAATAGTTCTGCGGAAACAAAATCATAAAAGTGCTGTTCGATACACGTACTTCAACCTCAAAAAGTTTCTTCCGAACACTTCAGTTTCTTTACTTTATAAACTGACATAAAAACCGAAATAACGTTGCTAAATTTCATTGTAAAAGTAATCCAGTAAACAAAGTTATTCAATAAAGTTAAAATAAAATTTCTGAGCCAGCAAAGTAATTGCATTACTGCACAGTTTTTACCCAAATGTTAGAGATTGTTTACCTTATAAACTGAAACATAATGAAAAAACTGAATAGATCAGAGCATGTGTGATTTTTGAACAATTTAAAGATAGCGCATGTAAGTCGTAATAAGAAACAATGTTATCAAACGGTATTCTTCCAGCACTGTTCATCGAGGCTCTTCATTAAAAAATCCTCAAGGGGTGTTTTAGTGTGTTTACTTTGTAAACAGAAACAAATGACGAAGCAAAGAACAGCTGATGGCGGGTGTGACTTTTTAAATATGTGTTTGTATATTTGTGTATGCGTGCATGTTACATTCCCGTAACCCTAAGTTCATCTCTAAGTGTTTGCAAAAGTCAGAATTCAAAATTTCGGTCAAGTGATTGAGCTTGTTTGAGACAAACACTGAAACAATGTTCATAAAGATACAACAATATATATTGGTAGATGATGTTAAAATTACGGTTTAGTTAACTTTTAGTGTGGCTATCAGAAAATATATATATATATGTAGAAAATATATTGTTACTTTTCTAAATTTTGAATTTATTCAAATTAACTTAACAGTTATGAATAGTATTAACACTTTATTCTCTAGCGTTACCAACTAATTTTACCAACGTCAATAAATCTTAAAGGATGAGAGTCAGCTACTTCAGTCATTATATTCCACTTATCTCCAATCCCTACATTAATGCCTGAATGCATCCAGTGGGAAAACGCGTCAAACCGGAACATATAGCCTTAACGCATTGTGGGTGAAATCGTGGAAAAACGAGTGGATATGTTCGTCTTCCCATATTGTGATGGTACGACTATGAAAGTATCTTTGTTTTATAATATAGATTTGATAGTCATTGTTTACTTTGAAATTAAACCCGTATTTTCTTTCTATAAACTTTTGTAAACAATAATACCGGAAATAGATACCAGATACTGTGATTGCGCAAAATCTGTAGTTCTATGTTTTTCATTGGTCATCTTTTACAGAGGGTAGTTGAAGCGTTTTTGTTTTTTGTTTTTGTTGTTTGTTTGTTTTTTTT